ATTAATAAAGACTTGACTTCCTTGGAATGTTTTTGCTTTAAAGTCTTAAGGCTTCAAGCTGGGACTGGGCGAAAAAACCTGGAACAATAAAAAATAAAGCGACAGCAGAAATAGACAGGCCTCGCACAGCCACATACCTTCCACATTTAATTATCGGGATTCTATTTGGAAGAACTTGGTCTGAACACTATTAAAGTACCATGCCATTCGATCACTGAGCATCCAGAGGCTTGAAAAACTTTCTTTTTAAACTTGCAATATGCTTAACAAAGCCTTTGAGTTTGAATTTGGACTTCTGTTGAAGGACTTGAGATGTAAGGACTTGAGCTGTAAAATATAAGTCCTGGCTGTGTTTTAAGAGCCTTAAAACAGCCCTGACATCTGAAAAAAAACAACTGTGCCTGAGGAAAAGGTCAAACTTCAAACTTTCCGCAATATTTCCAATCATCCTTGTGTCTTTTCCTTCCTTTATTTCAGAGCAGCTTTACTGTATATTTCTCCTCTGGTCTCAGACAGCTACACTCCACACAAGCAGTCTGGATTAGGAGCTGAAACCTCCAGTCTGTCAGCTTTTAGTTGGCCTGTGGCTACTCTCTAAAACCCAACCCTCGGGATATATATGAACACACACACTGTGATGTTTTGCACACCACAGACTGTATACTTTAGCTCACCGTGGAGGGGATGGAAATGAGAGCACAGACCGAAGCAAAGACAACACAGAGGACCTAAAGTTCATCTTGTGTTCAGGTTCAACAAGGTGGGTGGCCAGAAATTTTCCCCAAAATTTGTGAGTAATATTTGTGGATAACTTCTCCCAAGAATACGGAAGGGACTCGGTTCACTAGCTTGGGAGCGGAGGTACACAAAAAGTAGTGCACGGGAATTCAGGTTGTTTTACATAAACTGACAAGCTCCTGCACCAGATGTCCTTTCCGAAAACTTGAGCGCAGGTTTTTGATGCTTGAACAGCTGCGGTATGAGGTAAGCGGGCACAGGTCATCACGTGTCATCATTAGGTGACCTTGTCTTCTTGACGGCTGCCACGCTAACTTTACAGCTAATAAGTTGGCCGTGACACTAATGATGAGCAGCAGTGACGATCAGCCCACCACCACCGCAACTGCGCCGCTGTCAAAGGAGGCCCCTGTCCATTTAAATGAAGTCTGTAATGACTGTAATGACTCTAGAGCGCATGCTGCTCTCTGCTTGACTGCAACGCTTTCCTTTACAAGTTGGCAGGAGAAAAAAGAGAAGGTAATTTATTCGAGCTTGGTTAGTGCAATGTGGTGTCTGGCATGTAGAAGCTGAACCTTAGTGACTTAGAATCTCTCAGACCTGAGCACAAAACAGTCCTAAAGTGATTGGATTTGGCATTTTTCTTGCACCAGGATTCATGAATATCATCATCACGGCAAACCTTCTTGGTATTAACTTCAATGAAACAAACAGCATTCTGGAGTTAAACAGCGACTCCATCCACATGAATACAAATTAATTTTTGTTCACTTGACACGTCGTTGATAGTACAAACACGAAGCAGAAAGTTTAGGTGTAGAACATACTAAGGAAGAAGAACAGCAATGGGGAAAAGTAAGACCAGAGAATTCTTTACTTTTACTGATGACAAGGTGAAACTAAAAGTGTCATCGTAAAGCAGATACTCAGTACTGAAAGCGGCATGACAAATCAGGGAAGGATATGTATGACTGACAAGACCCAATCAGAAATCAACAATGGGTGTCATCAGTTCCAAAAGTTTCCATTTGTGCCCATCCGGTCTACAACAAAACTCTGGAGCTGTCAAACTCCAGCAGATTTTAGGGGTCTTTAAACACCAGAGCAGTGTGGCCTGTGGACTCTAGGTGTAAACGTAGCAGAATTTCTGCATTTTACTTTTACATTTATCAAAAGTATGGCCCCTTAAGTTGCAGTATCTCATTTTAAAGGGGGTCCTGGGAATACAAATACAAAAAACATGCAAACACAGCATTATATAACACACACCACAAGTACACATATATAGACAACTTGCTCACCGTCGCCCCAAGGTCTCAGCTACTGTAAAACAAAAATCAGCTACAAAGACCCAGGTAATACCTTCATTAACTGCATCAGCATGAAGAGCAGTTTGATTTCAGATTTATTTTATTTTATTTTTTTTAGCACAAATAAACTAAAAGTACAAGGTTGCTTAAAAATAAGAAAATATAGATGATTTGGAGCAGCAAAAACATGTAATGGATCTGAAAAAGAAAGATTGTTTTCATTGGAAAGAGCTTGATGATTGGAATGAGCTGCATCCAACATCTTTGAAATTCTAGGGCCAATGAAAAAGCTACGTTACATACTTTAAAGTTGATATGAAGATCTCCAAGCGACCAGAAACTGTTTCAAATGGGAAGGACGGGTAAAATAAACACACTTGAAAATGATCTGAACCTAATAAAATAACCTTTTGGCTGCAACTAATTACACGATTCAGACATGAGACAGTTTCACACAGAGACACCAAAAAATATTTATATTGAGAATTAAATGCAGCGTTAAGAGGCCTATGATTCCTGTCAGAGCTTTTAATAGACAATTTCAGCATGATCGATAATAAGCGGGATTAACAGAGATTTAAATTGTAAATGTACTCGTGTAGCCTGCGTCATTTCATTTCCTGTCAAATCTTTGAAACAATTCATAAATCTTGATCAACTCCATTTTATTATCAAAATAACCTATGAGGCAACACCACAAATTCCACTTTTTAATTGTTTTTTCAATCTATTTTATATATATATGTTTGTTACAAGGAGTCTAGAAGTTAACATATAGTTCTGAAAGATGTCTGAACTACAGTGCTTGAAAATTCTTCATCTCATGTGAGAAATAAAGTTACAAAACTCTCATGATCATCAACCGTGTCAGGCTGCCAAAGTCATCCTGACAATCAGCTATGTACACATGTAACATGAAACCAGAATCACATCCGCCTATTTTAATGCTCATTTACTTTTCCATTTTAGTTTGTTTCTAATATCTGCACGGACTGTGAAGCCAAAGTTTGTTTGATTTCTCCTTTTTATTGACATTTCCCCTCGACAACGTGCATCGTGATTCCTCTGTGAGCCAGCTGTCTCATCTATGAAACGAGCTGTAATTGGGTTGCACAGGAAAAAAAAAAAAATCAAAAATCAAAAAACAAGTAAACAAAGGAACGGCAGAAACAGATGTCTGAGCGGGACCACGCACCCTTTTGCATGCGTTAGTGTACGGCAGCGCACGCACTGGCCTCAGCGTGTGAGCGGATTTAGTAAGTGTCTGATATCCACCTTGTGCCAGCAGTTTGGATTCACAGAACGCCGCATGGAACATGGCAGCGAGCCTCGCCATAATGTCATTGGGGAAAATCATCCAGCTTAACTCCTTTGATCCTGCGAGAATCAAACGAACTGAGAAAGTTCTTAAGAGTTTTATCCAATAACGCTGCGGAGACGTCAAAACAAAGCGAAGGAGTCTCGCCAGATTTAAACTAAATTTTGATTTGGGCAGCCGTGTTGCTACTGCCAAGAACACCGAGTGGAATGCAGCCTTCATACTTTCTGAAAACATTTAATATCATTTGGGCTTTTTCACTACGCGCCCTCAAGACCCTCCTTAATTTGATATGCATGTTCCGAGATCAGTGTTGGTTTTTGCTGTACATTCCTACAGCTGGCAGCTAATTGGGTGACTATAAAAGGTTATATAACAGAAACCACAGAGACCTTTTTTTCCTCTCCCTGCTCATTTCAGTCAGTAATGCTTAAAGGAGACCAGGTTAATTAGTTAGGCTCACTAGTAGACAGAGCAGATTAACGCTTTATCACAATAATTTCATTACAGCCCTGAAAATAGATCAGTGTCTCATCATTGCCCTGAAATTAAATGAACAGCACAGGTTTTGAGTTTATTAACATTCTGTGCCTGCAAGTTAATTAGCCCAATTTCCCAAACACTACACAGATCAGTGGGCTATATATAGACAGTATGTGCGTGCATTAATGTCTGCTTTAGGCCCTGATTTGTGACTGGTGTGAAGTCTGGTTCCTTTCCAACATCCACATGGTACATATTCTAACAGATGTCAATCTGTGAAAAAGATCCTACAAAGGAAAATGTAAAAAAAATTGTGTACACGCTAACATTTTCAGTTATCCATCTGACTCATGTCGTTCTTGAAGTATCCCCCTTCGATGAGTTCTTTCAACAACATTTAGGAAACATCAGATTATGTCCCAATAGGCTTCTATTTTTCAGTACGTTCATACAAACAGAGCATAAACAGACGTGAGCCGCACTGTGGAACATCAGAGATTTGGAATTTAAAGACGCGTCATGAATATTGATGTAGCCGCACTGAGAACTGTACAAGTAAAACTGAAAATTACAGACCAGGCCTTGTGATAATGTGAGTTATATTTCAGTGGATATGCTTTATCGGGCTTCTTAGTGTAGCTTTTTTGCAAACAAACAATGAATTTTTGTATAAGAAGATGCTGCACTTTCCAGTTTCCAGACTGTATCTGCAAACTGCAAACAGAGCGACGGCATGTTGCAAGAAAGCCGTTAAACACCTTTTAATTCACTTACTGAAGTGTAACTTTCCTGTTTGTTTATTTTGACGTGTTTCTATGATGGACGCAATTAAAACATGCCCACCGGTAATAATCAGAAAAGATGGCAAAGTCGAATGTATTTCATTTGTTGTCATTCTTTCAAAGGAGAAGCGTGCTCCACTTCAACAAACCAGAGACCCGCGCATATATACGTCAGCGCTCTGTAGACCTCACAATGCAATTTTAAAAGCTACAATCATCCATGAAATGTGACGCCGCCACCATTTGCAGTCTATATGAGAGATTCACTCACAAATCACGTCCCTGAATTCGTCCTCTGTGCTGCACTCTGGTAAGTACAGTATGAACAAGCTGACAGAGAGAAAAACGGATCGAGGAAAAGCAACTTACGTCGGCCTTCCTGGCAGAGGTGTAGGGAGTGGATCTGGAAAAGAAGACAGGGGGATTTTTTACTACAGGATGGACAATATTGCTCCCAGATTTTTCTTTGTGCGAGCTGCCAGCTACAACAAGAATCAGCTGAGTTGTGAATGCTGCTGTGAGGAGGCAGAGGAAGTCACAGTAAGTGAGCGGTTTCTGGCCAGGTTTGATGCGATTGACAGGATACTTCTTACCGAATTTGACGAACAGCACCCCCGTCGTGGACACGGTCCCCTGGGTGTTGGTGGCCACGCACTGGAAGTAGCCCGTGTCAGTAGTGTCCAGGTTGCGGATGCGGAGGCGTGATCCGTACGGCGTCGACCGGTAGGAAACCCGTCGAGGCTCCTGCACCACGGGGGCGTCGTTCTTCAGCCAGCGGACAGACGGAGGCGGGTTGCCGGCCACGCGACAGAGGAGCTCAGCAGTGTGGCCCAGAGATGTGGTGATGTTGTTCATGGGAGCTTCAAGACGGATGAAGAAGGGCCCTGGAAGGCAGCGAGGGTGAGATGAAAGAAGAGACGACGGGGGAGATAAAGAATGAGGAGAACGGGGCAGGAAAGAGAGAGAAAACAAAAGACGGAAAAGGAAATTTAAGAAGGATTCCAAGTGAGAAGGAAACCAGAAGTGAGAAACAAGAGAAAAAGACAAAAAGAGAGGAAAGACATTATATTTCACAAGGCCAAGAACAAAGACATAAATCAAACAACACTTACTGTACTATAACAGAGCCAGATATTAAATAAAACATGCTGCCGTACGAAAAAAAAAAAAGTGGTAAAACAACTCGGTGTTTTTAGACACACATATTTAGAGCCTGGTTTTGCAAGTTATTTTGCGGTTGCCACTGTCGTGACACCTAATTTCACTTTTCATCGTCGCTGCGTGATGCCAGAGGGGTTTTCCAGGCTTGTGTATGAGCTTGTGAGGCAGCATCACCTGTGTTGTCTTGAAAGAAGATATAATAACACAACCATAAAAGACAGACTCGCAATGTTTGGTGTGTGTCTTAAAGCAGTCAAACCTGGCTTAGAAAGACTAAGCAGCAAGTAAAACCGACTTCAGAACTGTGAAGCTATTGATGAGGGATAATGCTACCAACATCCAAGTAAGTCACTGTGTTGTGTTGAAAAGTATGGCTATTGAAAAAAAACCATGATTATCCAGGACCATATTCTGCCTCAAGGTGGTCAGAAAAAAAGCAATCTGGAGGGCCACCTAAGAGTTTAATGTGCAGGAAAAACATTGGTGTTAATGTCATGAAAAACCTCTGGAAAGTTCCCTCAACCCCAAAACCCATCTTAGGTATGCAGAAATGCTCCTGGTTACACAAACGGGCCAAAACAAACAAAGGAGGAAAAGCACATAGAGGGGAATCTCAAATACGAGTCAGATGAAACTTGAATAAGTGTGAATGGAGAGGTTGATGAGTAAAAATAGAGGCTCGCACTTACTGACGCTGGCACACCCACGCGTTTAAATCTCTGCTACTGTCTCCCATGTAAATTATTTGCGAGGCTTGCAGGGGAAATTTGCTGTAGAGTTAAAGATTGACATGCAATTACCGAAAGCATTTAAAAGCAGCCAAGTCTTGTTTCTAAGAGTTTGCAGTGTCCTCCAACACTGTTGTTCCCTTTTCTCTCCAAACATATCGGTTTATCCTCTGTTGTTCCTTCCAGTGTACATGCAGGATACTTAACTGCAGGAATATTACCGGAAATTAAGGTGTCTTAACAGGAAAACTCATTAGTAAGACTCTTGGGTAGCATAACACTTCCTTCAGCTAATCAATTAGTCATTTAGTGTATAAAATGTTTAAAAAAATAATTTAAAAAATATATTTTCAGTGTCCTTCCATGTTGCTTTTTTTGTCCAAGCAACAATCAAAAACTGAAAAATATTCAGTTTACTGTCACATTTGACAAAGAAAAGCAGGGAATCAGCATTAGAAAACCTGAAACTAGACAAAATTTGGCTTTTTTGAATTGAAAAATGGTTCATATTCTGTCACTCATCTCACAAAGCTGACCAATCACTGCATGGACTGGAGCGTGAATGTCAGATTGTCAGTTTTAGAAAGTTTAAAAAAAAAAAAAAAAGTGAGCTGCAGTCCCTCCCAATAGAACAGAGGAAAGTTCAGGAAAAGGCGGGTTGTAGATGGATTTGACCTGAGCTGGAGTCTGCCAGTCACGTCACTCTGTCGCCATAGCAACCCTAGTGGTTACATGTAGCTCATCTGACGCCAAGTGACAAACATATTGTCCTGAAGTGTGTGAAATGAGTGTCGGCAAGATGTTTGTGAAAAAGACTGTGAGTGTGTGTGTCAGACTGTAGAACACACACTCACACTGTCCTCCACAAAGCCTCAGGCTTAACACAGCAATGTGGTACTAACAAGTGTGTGACAATATGGGGAGGCTCCCACCATCGACCACAGCACCACCACCGCTCTCCCTTCGCCTCTCCTCCTTCTCACCCACTTTTTATCTGTCCTCCTTTCTCTACATACTGTACACAGCTGTCTCTCTTATTTGTACAATCCTGTCTCTCCAGAGTGCAGCGCTGCAGCCAGACCAAAACCTCCAGCAAAACAATGTTAAAGTCATCTGGAACAATGTTCTTTTTGTTGGCTATTACGACGACGAACAACGTGATTTATTTACTGTTACAGAAAACGTTCATTCCCATCTTCCTCTTTTCCTATATTTACTCCTCCACTCACTGCCAATGTGTGCAGTTCACCACAAGATATAAAAACTACATCTCACTTAGGTGTGTGTGTGGGAGATGTTTTCACATCACATCATACAGACACCATGTAGAAGTCACAGGACTCGCAGAAAACTGTGAACCTGATGTTCTTCCCTCCAGCCAGCAAACACAGACAGGAAGCTGTAACAGATACAGAATGAACAGAAACTACTGAGTACAGCAGTTTCTGCAGGTAATTTGGGTCACTTGTTTGGTTTCAAAGCTTGTTTGCTAAAATCCTTTGTAACTTCATTTTTTCCCCCTTATTCCTTTCAATTGAATCTTTCCAATCTGATCTTGTTATTGATCACATTGGACAGTTTTGATCATCTATAATGACTTTAAAAGTCATGAGAATCCCACGAGAACACCGAAATTGGGAAAATTTATCCTCTATCAGGAGTCATGCACATCAAGTAAATACACTTTTCATTAAATTTTACTTTGCTGAACTGAATTAGACATCAAACATCTTGTAAAGGTAAAAATGACATCAAGTGTGGAGTTGTGAATTTTTACTGTTCAGTGAAAAAATACACTGAAAGTCCAGAACCCAGAAAAATGTTCGACGCTTGAAAACAATGTATTTTGGACTCATTAGTTTTTTTATTTTTTCCCC